GTGCCTGCGGCCCGCGCTCGACCTCCCGCGGCGGGTCTGGGGCTAGGCCCGGCCGGTGACCCAGCGCCGTGCCCTCGGCCTGCCCGGGACCGGACCTTTGCCCTGGGGAATCTGCCCATCGCCATCTCCACAGAAGCCTCGCTAAGGACGCCTCACAGGGTCCCTGCTCATCCTAGACGCCGCACTCAGGCGGATGCCAGCGGCTCTTTGGAGGCACACACGCGCTCACACCAGATGCCCATGCTCCCTGGCCTGTGCAGGGCCCCTCCTGGGCCTCATGCGTAGACCTCTCCGCTCTGTGGTACTCCTTCCTGGGCAGCGAGAACCCACTCAACCGGAGATCCCTGGTGTTCACCAGGGTGATGAGGCGGGGCTGGTGGGAAGGGGAGTGACAGTGCAGGAGGCCATGGCTGTTTATTACCTGCCAACCTCACACCAAAGGCCTTTGAGAGCTCAGCTCTCAGGACATTCACCTCAAGGTGAAGGCAGGCCAGCAGGGAGTCAGAGTCCTGCCCAAGCTAAGCTGCACGGTGGTGCTTGGGGGCATGTGGGTGGGAGACACAGGGTGGGAGACAGAGAGTACCCTTACCCTTCCTCAGTAAGTATGGGCACCAGGGCACTAGAAAGGCCAAGTGGCACAGGCCCACCTCCAGCAGGAAATCCCACCCTCTAACTGCCCCCACTTAAGGTGGACTGGAGGCCTTGCAGCCCTAGGGGCCCAGAGGATGCTCACAGGGCAATGGGAATGCTTGTGGGCAGCCTGCGGGACCTCCATCCCCTTTCCCACCAAGCAGCTCCATGGCACCTCCAGATCTTGGGTGCGAGACCCGAGTCAACTCTGCAGCCACTCAGCCTTTGTGCTGGCACCAGCAAGTCTCTGTCCCTCGGTGCCATCCATGTGCCAAATCCCAGGACCCTTGGGGACCTTCATCCTCCCTGGCCCAAGTACTGCCATGTGTCTGGGGGACCCTCCTTGCTTGGGGCCTTGTGAAGGGCCCAGCTCCAGCAATTCCAGGAGGGCTGACCCACGGGACCAGATGGAACTGGGCCACTGGCCCTGCCACTTGACAGAGAAGATTCTGTCTTTCTGCTAGGGCATTCCTAGTTGTCACCTCCACTCTGTGGGAGGTCTGAGGTAGTGGAGGGGTCCCAGAATACGAAGATAAGCAAAGATCATCTGCAGATGTCTTTGAAGCCCTCACTTGAAACAGGCCAGGGGCCAGCGATTGCACACTTCAGCCAATGGTGTCCCACCACGGCCTGTCTTGCTCCTGCCATTCCTGCAGCCCACACACACTAGCTCCAGGCCCACCCCCTGGAGCATCTTCCCAGGGGGCTTCCCATTGGAAACCTGAGAACAGGCCTGACCTCATGCCAATACTCTCCACAAGGTGCCAGGGTGCAAGTGCCTCTCTCCACTGGGCTGAGGGCCATGGCTCCTGGGAAGGAAGGGCACTCATGCTCACAAAGAGGGCCCTCTCCTTAAAGGCAGCTTGACTGGGCAGTCAGGGTGGGGTGGCTGTGACTGGCTAGTCATAGAACCCAGTGAGGCCGTGGCCCTTGCCTTCCTGAGCCAGGGTCATGGCCAGGATCACATGACAGTAGGCTGGCCGAACTAGACATCATGGCCCTGGGGTAGGGCCACACTTAATCAGCAACACCCAACGTCACTGCCTAGGTGAGCTGCGAGTTATGACCCCAGGGAAAAGGAAAACCCAGCCAATAGCATTCCCAACCCATTATCTACCGGCCCAGCATGGAAAGGCTGCCACATGGACCACACTTCTAATCCTGTCTTTTACAGGATCCCTGATACCTGGAAGGACGTTTCTGGTGCATCACTGCCTCTGCCCAAGGGATCCTACCTGTAAGCACATGACCCAGTCCTTCTTGCTTGTCTTGGGGGTCCTAGGGGCCCCACAGGTCCTGATGCCTGGCCTTGAGCTCCTGTCCTACCTTCAAGCCCCCTTCTGAGGCCACTCTAGAGTGAAAAAGCTGGCCCCTCCAGTACACTCTGGTTTATGGCCCCCCCAGGGACCACCATCAGGGTATCCCCTCACTGGAGACACGTTTCCCTGCCCAGCATGAAGGAAGGAAGCCTGGAGTTTACACCACGTGACATTTATTTTTCAATTGGAATCCAAAACAAAGACAGAATGTTACAACCACCATTCTCTGCTGACAGGGGTGTCTGCTAGCCCAGGACTTCCTTCAGGAAGATAGAGCCCTTTGGGACACTGCCTTTCACACACGTCCACACACACTCCAGACCCCAAGTTCCCAGTGGTTTGTGGCATGGGTCGCTTTCAAGGGGGCATGATGGTTACAAAAATTTGCAGGACATGGCATCGAAATTCCCTATTAAGACAGCAGTGCTTCAAAGCACCCATGTGCGAGCCTCAGCACCAACAGCTGCTCGCGGGAGGCGATGGGGACCATACCGCGAGACCCAGTGTTGACACAGCACAACAAAGATGGCCAGGGAAATCTTCAGTTTGGGCTTAAAGCCACAAGTGTCTTCCTTTGGAAGTGGATGCCATCAAAGCAACCAGCGCTGGTGTTTACACCAGAGATGAGGGTGAGCTGGCAGACACACTGGGAAGCACCCTGGTTAGGTACCGATGGCTCACAGCCACAAGGAACACAACTGGGCCATGTACCCAATGCCGGGGCCCTCTTGGTCTATCTACAGCACTGCCTGCTGGAAGGCGGGCCAGCCTGCTCCTAAGAAACACGCCCTCCCCAGCGCAGCCTGGCCAGGACACACATCCTTGGCACTCCGTAAAGACATCTCCCCAGCGACGCTAAAAGCCGTTCTTTCTGACCAAAGATGCCTAGAGACACACCCCAATAGCACTAACCCATTTGGACAATTGGAAATGTCCCTTTATTTAAAGCTATCACAAGCGCCCACCATTTCAACACAAAAGTTTAGACTAGAAGCCCAGGAAGGCAGGGGCTCAGACAGACACCACGGCGCCAGCAGGCAATACTTTTTTTTTTTTTCCTGAGGACGCTGGAGGCCACAGCTCACGTGGCCAACATCCCTGCATCCCTTCTCACCTTCTCACACGAGAAGGCTGTCGCCACTGCACCGGACTGGACACGTGAGCTACGGGACTGTCCTTTTCCTCGACCAGAGCTGACCAAAGACAGCCTGGCCATGGTCAGAGGCCTACCCAGCCAGCCAGCATTTCCCTGGGCCAACCTTCTAGTTGTTCCAGTGGTCTATCTCGCTCCCTAGGAAGCCTACCTGCTCCTTTCTGCATGGCAAAGCAGTGGCTGTAAGCCTCAGGACCTTGAGGCCAGCACAAATAGGCCCAACACTGCTCACCTGGGCCCTTAAGACCGCTGGGCCCCAGCCACCTCACTAACACTGGCCTGAGACGTACCATGAGCAGCACAGCCCCAACCAATAACATCACAACTTCCCGAAGCCCACAGCAAGCCTTAGCACACACATCCTTGGTGACGCCTCAGTGTGGCCCCGGAGAACCCAGCTCTGGTGATGGCACCCGGGCCAGCTGCAGAACCTCACCTTCACTGCCGGGAACATTCAGACCTAAACACGTGTGTGGCCACGCGGACACACACGCACACACACACACACACGTACACATGCACACATGACGCTCCCAGGAGACAGCCGAGCTGCAGCACTGCCCACAGGCTACCAGACCCACAGACACCTGAGCTGCCAGGGCTGGTCCCACACACACAGTCCTGCCCTCTGATGCAGTTATCAAATGCAGTTTTTATTCTATTTTTTTTTAATGACTATAAATAAGTGTTTCCACTATGGAAAAGAAAGTTAGCACAGTACATTTTCATGACTGGGGAATGGATTTTCTCAAATTGCCTTCAAGAGAACAAAAACTTAGAAAAAACAATCTGGATGTTGGAGTTCGAACTGCTTTATATAAAGTCCCTTGTAAACAAAACAGAATAAAAATAAACCAAAAAGGGGTAGGATAAAAAAAGAAAAGAAATAAAGAAAGGGAAAGGGAAAGGGAAGGGGTAAGAAAGTAATGTTAAGACCATTTATTGCTTCTCCTCATTCTTCTCGGCCTCTTCGCCCTCAGACACCTTGGTCCCAGTCGCCTCCTCAGTCTCCTCCTTCACCGAAAGAGCTTCTAGCTTTTCGGCCACTTTTTCAGCATTATCATTTTTACCCGAGCCTGCTAAAAGATAACAGTGAACAAGGTAAGGAAACAGTGAAACAACCCCAGCGGGACCTTGAGAACTCGAGCTGGATGGGCCGCCTTGTTTGCCGGGCAAGCCTTCTGTCTCTAACAGGGTGCAGTCACTTCTCTTTCATTCTCTAGAGAAGAAGGCTTGTGTTTTTCTCCTCTGGCAGGTTTTACTGTACTTGGACTGCCCAAGCAGGGACATGGTGCCATATGTAGCAAAGTGAGAGGCAGGGTCTCACCCCACGTCACCTGCAGCCTTGGGGACACTGCTGGCCCTGGGGACATTCAGCAGCAGCCTGGGACCGACTCCCAGCAGGCCACTTCTCTTCCTTAATTCTGGTTGATGATCTTGGCCAAGATCATCTCAAGGATGAGACCGTCTTCTCAGGTTCAATCATCAAACAAACGGGCACTCCCTCCCACCTGGAGCCCATCAGGGTACGACAGCTTAGGTTCTTCTAGCCACTGCCTGGCCCAGGGCCAGCGGCGTGAGCAGGACGCTGTCTTGCAGCCCTTCTAGCTTCTGATGGGATTCTGCTTAGAGCCCGGGCTAACTCGGCTCCCTACTCAACCGCCTCGAGGCCAGTCCCAGTGTGCATTCACCTGGCACACACATGTCCCCGGGCAGCTGCGTCACCTCGAACCCACCAAGGTGCTCACAGTGGCCCGGACAGTTTCTCTGGCAGACAGAAAAAGCACCTGGCCTGGGACTGTGGTCAGACGCAGAGTGAGTCTGCGAGAAGCCCCTGCCCCCCCGTATAGCACCACACCACCTTTCTTTTCTCTCTCTTCAATCTCTTTCCTGCACTCTTCAAACTTCGTCTTGAATTTCTGTGCATCTGAAGAAAAAAGAAAATGTCTGAAGAGTTTGAAGCAGTCCTGGTGAGGGATCATGTGCTGACCCTGAAGAGGTGGGACTCACGAGGGGCCCATCACGTGGTGATTTCCGACCTTACAGACAAGCTGGGCTGCCTGACGGCAACGTGGCCTTCCACCCGGACTGGGCGCTTGGCTGAGGCCCCACCCCCTTTAGTGGACTTAGTACGAATCCTGCGTGTGGAAGGATCAAGCTCAAGCAGAGCAGGCAAGAGCCTGGGACCACGGCCAACCAAGCGCCCGCCCTTCTACACTGGGGGTCTACTCGCCGCTCCTGCTGGAAATGGGCTGTTGCACCAGGCCACACATCCAACCTGCCTGATTTCTCCAAGGCGTACTGGGCACCTTTGGAAAATCCAACTGAGAAACCCAAGCTGGGGAGAGGTCACCCTGAGCCCACGTATGTCAGCCGAGGCCCTGACATGAGAGGCTGTACAGAGATGTGCTGCCTGCCTAGCCGTGCCTCCCTCAACCACACAACCACGGGCGTGCACAGAGAGGAGTCGGGAGAAGTCCCTGGGGTTCGACTCATATTTCCACAACCTGAACTATAGCTTGAACAGGAACCTAAACTGCCCAGTTTACTTGCCCTTGGTGAGAAGGAGGTGAGGGATTAGTGGAACTACACTGGTGACCTCTTGTTCAAGAACCATCTGGCACCCAGTTACCTTTTGTTCTAAGAGGGACAGCACATGGCCCAGCCTCAAGAGCACATGTGCTCCACAGCTCAGCCTGCCCTCAGGCCCACCCCTCTCTGCCCAAGACTAGGCAGCAGAAACATGGCCCCCCTCACGCACTTCCCACTTCCTGCTCACTCTCCCTGGAAAAAACAGCAGCACTCCCATTTGCAATCAAGCTACCGCGTGTCAAGGCTGGTAACCACATGCAAGCCCCTACACACCCCGTCCCCAAACTGTTTTGCTTACTTTCAGCATTTAAGAACCGAATGGCGAGCAACTCTGGCTTGGGGCACTCGTCAGCGAAGTCGGCATGGGTGTTCCAGACCCAGGCTCGGTCACTGCCTGCGTTTGGCTTTAGCTCCATCAGTGGTGTAACTGGGGTACAGAAAAGTCCAGTGAAACCCGTGCAGACCCCACAAGGCCCCCCCAAGCCTGACACTGGGCAGCCTGAGGAAGGGTTCAGGAACGAGGCCCAACCAACTCCCTGGAATCTGGTTCTTACCTGAACCTCTTCGGAAGCCCCCCATATTCATTCTGAAACCTCAACTGTCTTGAAACCTAGGACTAAAGTGGTTGCTACCTGACTACGAGTACAGCTCAACAAGGGCCTCCTTTGCCAAATCTTAGGCACACTCAGCACGGTCCTGCCCTCAGCCGTGAGGCTGCACCATACCCAGCCCCGAGGGCCCATGTCAAACCTTCAGGGCACAAGACCAAGCAGGCCCAACCTTTCTTGCCAAGCACACCCCATGTGTGATGTGTCCACACCTTGCCACACAGTCAGAGGCCTGGCCAACTGGGAGGTGGCAGTAAGGTCAGTGGAGGGCAAGAACCCAGGAAAAACACTATGTGGCCAGGCCACCAGAAACAGGCTAAAGGCCTCTCGTGACAAATGCTTGTGTCTCACAGAATCATTAGTCACCTCTGTGAGGGACAAAGACATGCGTGGCCTGAAGATACACCCCCATCCATTTCCAGCTGAGCCCCACACTGGTGCAGTCCCAGGAGAAATGAGGGGACATGGACCCTGCACCAAGCAGGGAGATGCCCCAAAGGAGAGACCTTCATCTGGAGCTTGCCCCTGTGGGTGACACCTCCCTAGACCAGCCCCTGGAAGATAAGAACATCCTGGGGTCCCAGTTACACTCACCCCAGGCCCACGCACACACATCACACCACCTGAACCCAAACTGGGGCCTCTAGGTCCACCACACCCCAGATCCAGTGGTTCCTGGGTCTCCCTGCCCACATCGACACCAGCACCTCGCCCCATACCCAGTTCCCTCCTCCTCGCTCATTTCTCACACAGTGAGCTGGAGGCTATCCCTGAATGACAGGTGGACACACCATGCCCCACCCAGGCCGTCTACTAGGACCCTGTGAGGGGACCGGGCCAGTCTCTGCTGGGCTGCAGACACACGGCTCTGTGTCCAGTAGCCCTGAACCAACTTACAGTTGTGTGGGGACAGACAACTCTACCACGAAAACCACCTGCCCCCTCGGCAAGGCTTCTGGGAGAAAGGAAGAGGTGATGGGGAAGACCCTGAGGATAAAGGGGGCCGAGAACTCGGCTGGACCTAGCCTGTGCCTAGTAGACAGGCTGTGCTGAAGGATGAAGGCTGCTCCTCATGCCTTCCCGGACACACACGACGCCTAGCAAATGCACATGCTGTGCTGGACCAAGCCCTCGCCTGTGACGCGGCTGCCTCTGAAGGTGCCAACACACAGGAGCAGGCAGAGCGGCCGTGGCACTACAAAGCAGCTAGAGGCCAAGACAAACTCTGCCCACAAGCCAGGCCTCAGGTGGCCTTTGTAGAACCTCTCCCCCTAGGGTAAGCCCTGACAACACGTCATGCTTGTCCAGGCCCTCACCTGCCACCACTGCGGCCTGCAGAGCCTCACATACTTTCTCCCTTGTCCCTGCTCCTCAGAGGCACTGGTGTCCCCTCCCATGTCCTCAGAACACAGCCAAGGGCTAGAAGCACATACACGCCGTCTGCCTGCACCTGCCAGGCTGTCTTGCTGGGTTCCGTGTCCCCATTCTGTAAGCCCTGCCCCCGACAGGCTCTTAGCTCAGAGGCACAGCTGAAAATTTCATTAAGACACCCCCAGACTGGGCTTGCTGGTCCGACAGAGCCTGGTGGAACCACTGAGACCATGGCCCCTAGCTGCCCTGCAGGTCTGGAATTGAACCCACGCCTGTGGCTTCCAGCCAAACAAAAGACAGGCATAGGAGTTGACCATTTACCTGAGGTAGATACACTCCTTGGAGAGAACAATCATGGGAGAAAGAAGGGTGGCTTATGCACAGGGACATAGCTGAAGGGACAGGAGTGCATGGAGGGATGGACACAGGGAAGAGGTGACTATGGGGAGGAAGTGGGAGGGGAGCTGTTACACTGGGTAAACTGTGGTCAACGTCATGAGACAAAGTGTGTGAACTGCTGTATGGAAAGTGAATTTGCTCTGTAAACCTTCACCCAAACACAACAGAACTACAACAAAGAAACACCCCCATGAGCGTGCCCCTTAATGACACACTCGCAGGTTCCCGGCTCAGCCCTGAGCCCGTGTGCCGCAGGCTCTCCGCGCCTGGGCGCCTGGACACCTACTGTAGTGGTTAGCGCAGATCTTCAGGGTCTTGTCCCTGCGCATGAGCAGGCGGATGCTGCCCTTCTCCTTGTGCCTCAGGAGCTTCACGTCGCCGGTGCCCCGCTCCTTCCACTCCGGGAGGTCATTTTCTGAGGCAAAACGGTACAACTTTGCCCGCCTTCAAGAAAAGTCATTAAATGAGAGCTTAGATACACACATGGATGAACAAAGGAAGGAAAAACAAAGTCTTTGGTTACCCTGACAAAGAACGTTTTCTGCGTATTAAATAAAACTGTGGGGCTCGCCTTTCTTGTTAGGAACTCTGAGTTCAAAATGACACTGAAAGTGGGGCAACAGCTCCTCCACCTTAGGATTGTTTTTATTTTGCAATGAAAAAGAATAACCGAGTTACAGTTGCAACATTACCAACAGAAACATACTTTCAAATCTAGGCAGGGCAGCCCAAGGTAGGCAAAGCTGAGGGCTGGGTCCCCCCAGACGGCCACAGGATCCGTGTGGAGACAGCCAGGCAGAGGCTCCACACAGGCAGGGGTAGCCCTCTGCTCAAACGCAAGATGCCTCCTGTGGGCCACCCAACCCACCCAGAGAAGGGGCTGCCTGTAGATCTCTGCTCATGCCAACAGTTTCTAGCCTGAACGCCTGCTTTCCTGCCCACGAGCACCTCCTCACATTGCAACCTTCTGATCACACATAGCCCCCAGTTCTACATCCAGCAATGAGCCCAACACACCTGTCCTCAGGACTCATATCAACTCCCTCCCTCCCCACCCACCACGCCTGCCCTTTGCTGCCCCTCCCTGCCCTTGGTTGTGCTATTGCGTTTCTGCCAGGGCCCCTGGGCACAGGACAGAAACTGTGCTCCCTTACCCACACCAACTCTACGAAGGGAGCCAGGGTCCTCCCAAGGTTTCTGAACGAGCTAGTCCCTGAGCTTTAACCTAGAGCCCGAGGGTCAAAGTGTGGAGGCTCCACTTCCCACGGTCTCCTCCCACGAGGAGCCACCTCCGGGTCTCTAGCACCATTTCCGGGCAGAGCAGAGCCCTGGCAAACCAGTGTCTTTGGGGGACACCAACACCCTCAGAGACAAGGGGGCACGGGTGCTTGCTCTCCCAGCTCCCCTTCCTTGGACTGAGGCAGGGGACATCTTTCTCTGCTTCCTGCCATCACCCCACTGGCGAAGAGTAAGGGGTCCTCAATCAAGGTTCTTGGATCAAACTGGGGGGAGGTTCCACGATGCTGGAAAGGGGGAAGACTACACCCTAACTTTCAGCACCTTGTAACCGGGTCTAAGGTTCCTGTGATCATGAAAGTCGGACACAGGCGGCGTGGCAGCAGTCCTGCGACCCTGTCACATAGGTTTTGTTGCACGCAGTGCAACATGAGGAGTGTGCCCGTCCTCCCTACTTTGAAACCACACCTGCCATCAAGGTTTCCCACTGAAAGCACTAATGAGAAGCACGCGTCTCAGACTTTAAGACATCTTAGTGACTGCGTTTCAGCATCGCTTGTTTTCTTTTGTAATTCCAGGTACTTTTCTGTGCTTCTTAAAACATTAAGCTGTGGGGGAAGGGAAGGGCAATGTACCAAAAGTGAGGGATCAACATGGTAGCACTGGAAAAGCAGGACGACGGAGAGAGGTTCATGAGAAGCACAAACAACAAAGATGAACCCTTCTGCATGGACAGTACTGCACTGTCAGTGATGGCAAGCAAGCGTTGATCTAAGGGCAGACGGATGAGCAGACAGGCTCGCCAATCAGGTGTGCCTAGGCAGGGCGAGCATGTCCATGACCATGTGTCAGGCTGACAGACAATGTTTCTACAGCCATATTTATGGGTGCCATTAGAATATCCAAACGTATAGTGGAGCTGACAAGGGGCAAGGCTGTGGTGGCTTCTTGGCCACAGCCAGCTACCCGGAGGGTGCAAATAGTTGAATCTGTGGCCTTGGGACCATGGTCGTAGGGAACATCAAGCTCAACTGGCGTAACATACTACACCAAAACATTGTCCCACATCCCACTTTGGTGAGTAGCGACTAGGATCTTAAAAAGCCTGTAAGCGGCCATCTACATGCAATGATGGGTCTCTCCTCGTCCAGAGCAAAGAAGAATGAAGAAAACCAAAGACGCATGGAAATTATTAGTCCAAGGGAGTGGTACACCATGCGATCCTTAGCCTACGTGATCTTAAGACCAGAACTAGACTGGAGAGATTGACGCAGGAGACCCTGGATAGAGGGGAGAACAATGTGGAACAAAAGTCAAAATCATTAAAAAAAAAAAAAAAAAAAGACCAGATTTGCCGGTCTGATAGAACCGGGTGAGACGCCTGAGACATGGCCCCCGGTTCCCCTTCAGGTCTGGAATTGAACTCACTCCTGTGGCTTCCAACCAAACAACAGACAAGCAGATGGGGTGAACACTTACAGCAGGTAGATGTACTCCTTGGAGCGATCAAATATGGGAGAACAGAAGGGCAGTGTTTGCAAAGGGAGACAGCTGGGGGTGGGGCAGGAGTGCATGGGAGTGAAGGACACAAGGAAGAGGTAACTATGGGAAGGAAGTGGGAAGAGAGCCATTCCATAGCAGGGAATTGCAGTCAATGTCACAAAACAAAATGTGTACGAACTGCTGTACGGAAAATGAATCTTCTCTGTAAACTTTCACTCAAATCACAATAGAGACTTCAAACAAACAAACAAACAAACAAACATTAAGTCGGGCATTCATAAGCTTCAGACTGCCAAAGGGTCCACAGTGCAAAACAGCCCCCCTGTTCAACAAGGAGGAGCTCTGGAGGCCCAGTGACTAAGGGATTTGACTGCTAACCAGGTTGGTGGTTCAAACCCACTAGCTACTCCAGAGGAAGATGTGGCAATCTACTTCCATAAAGATTTACTGCCTTGGAAACCCAATGGGGATCACCATAAGTTGGAATCAACTCGATGGCAGTGGGTTTGTCTTTTGTTTTTTTTTTTTTTGGTTCAACAGGGAAGGACAGCTGGGGAGCCAGGCCTTGGGGGGCAGTCGAAGTGATATGCCACCAAGGAAGGCTGGACACCACATAAAAGTTTGTCACATGAATGAGTTCTAACAGCAACTTTCATCTTCCAGTGTGGCATCTAGGCCTTTTCTTCAAACACCTTAAGGTTCAATGAAAGGTCCCTGACACCTGTAGTTTGTTACAATTACTATCCTATGCTACGTATACCTTTTTCTGGAGCGAGAGCAGCCTACTCACATTTTAAAAAGTTCCTCCTCGTCTTCCTCCAGCGTTTTAATTTCTTGTTCAGGGAGAGAAACTATCGGCTCAAACTGGGGGTCATGGCTGGATTCGTCTACACTTTCGGTGGCGTCCCGATCCTCGTGCGAATCCTGTGGAGGGAGCGTGTAAGGTAACTCGGCCGGCTCACCAACACCTGAAACAGGCGCCCCCACTGACACGCAGCTTCAGAAACGAGGACAGGACTCATCCCAAAGCAGGAGCGTAAGCTCACAGCCTTTCACACCCAGGAAGGTTTGCACGTCCGCCCAGCTCCACAGTCACCAGGTGAGTATGTGAGCGAGACGCTGGATTTCAGCCCCCTCCTCGGACGCACAAGCATCAATCAGCGCAGGCAGACTGACTGGCACTCCTGCAACTGGCTGTGCTTGGGCGAAGCCCACTCCCCTCTCTGAGCCTCAGCTTCCTATCTGTGTGACGCAGAGAGTGCAAGGAGTAAGGGGCACAAGAACGGATTACAGAGGGCCTCAATGAGCGTGTCACTCTTAAAGCAAAAAGTAACCCTTTGAGTTCTTTCTGCATTGAACAAAATCATGCTCTTGCTTACTAGAAGAGGTGTGACCAGAATGCGTCCTAAAAGTTGGCCTTTTTCCTCTAAAAGGTAAAAAAACAGATGTTACTTACATGGAATTCACAGCTGCCAGCACTTTTACCTTGCCTTGGGAAACTAAGCTGATAAATCAAAAGTGGTATTGTGCAAAGAAAAGAGGAAGCAATATATATATATAAAATGAACACAGTGGAATTTAAAGTATAACACCCTGAGTTAAACTAGTAAAAACAAAAAAATGCAAATAGGATTATTCACTATCTCCGTAGGGAAGTCTCGGCATTATTTATGAAAAATCAAATCAAGAAGATCTTGCTTCCTTCCTGTTGGGTGCTGTGGAGTTGGTTCTGGCTCATAGCGACCCCACAAACAACAGATGCAAATGCTGTGCCATCTTCGCAACCGGGTCTGCTTGGGCCCACTGCTGCGGCGTGTCACTCCATCTCTCTGAAGGTGTTCCTCTTTTTTACTGACTCAATTCTTTACCAAGCATGACGTCCTTCTCCAGGGACTGGTCCCTTCTGATGACATATCCAAAGTACTTGAGCCGTGATCATGCTTACTTAGAACGTAACTGAAGTCAGATGGGTGCCGCAAACAGTTAAGTGCTCTGATGCTAACCTAAAGACTGGGATTCAAGTCCACCCCACAGAAGCCTCAGAGGGCATGCTCGTGATCTACTTCCAAAAAACCAGTCATCAATAAACACTTCGGAGTACGGTTCTCCTCTTGCACACGGTAGGGTCGCCGCAAATCAGAATCGACTCCACGTTTTTGTTTTTTAAAACACCCAACGTTCCTCCAATGTGAGTAACCCCTTTTAAAAATAAAAACTTTCTGATCGAGATAAAAAAACCCATTGCGCAAATATAAATCATAGAACTTGGATCCAATTTAGAGAATTATAGAGCACAAAGGATCGTGTTTAAGTTTAACAGAACACGTGACTTAACGAGCTCTAATTCCGTAAAAAAAAAAAAAACAAAAAAACACCGAGATTGCACTATCGGGCTCAAGCCGGAAAAGACAATTTGGCTACTTCTCCCTGGTTCGATAGCACTGCCGCGGCCAGCTCACGCGAGCAGACACAGGCAATCAACAAAGCCGCCGCCACCCTGGGCTGGCGCGTCCAAGGCTCGCGTCCCCGGCAGAAACGCGAGTTCCCACCAGCAGAGGCCTGCAGTGGTTCCAGACAGCAGGACGGAATGAATGAAGTGCTGCGTGGGCGACATGCGAGGAATGCGCGATCGTGATGGGAATCCCGCAAGTGGGCCGAGCCAGAGAAAATCAGACGCCCGCCCCACGTCCTCGGCGAGCCGGGACGCTCTGCGGGACGATGGCAGTTGCCTAGCTCGCCTGTGGCTCGCTGGGGCCGCCCCAAGGTCACGCAGACGCTTCCAAAGCCCCCGGGCCCTGCGTGCCCCGGGCCTCCAGGCCGCGCTCCCCGCAGCCCCGACCCCGCGCCCTGGAGGCCCCGCGCCTGTTAGGCCCCGCAGGCCCCGCGCGGCCGCAGGCCAGCGGAGGTTGGGGACGACCGCGCGGGGACGCCCACGTGGCCGACTATAGCGGCCCCAGCCCCTTGGTCCCCTCCCGCCCCGACCCCGCCCGGGTCCGGCCGCACCTTGGCGGCCGCCATGGGGGCGCGGCGGCGGCGGCGGCAGCTCGACTGATTCGGTCGTGGCTGGCTCCGTAGCCTCTCAGCGGCTAATCGTAGATCCTTCCCTCCGCGTCTGGCGCCGGCGCCTCCCGCCCGCCCGCTTTTCACTCCGCCCCACGACCCGAACCCCGACCCCTGACCCCGGCGGCGGGAAACGCGCCGCGATTCAAAACCAGCGCAGCTTTATTGACTCTAGCAGAGGACACTTATTGTCCGGCCCGCCCCACGCTTCCCGCCAAAACGCGCGCGGCGCATGCCTGCCTTGGGAGCGCGCACTCCCGGCAGCCCTCGCGTTCACTTCCGCTCTACAGCGCGCACCCTTCGCACTCGCGGAGGGGACCGGCTAGTGATGATTACGTAGACGGAAGCCGGGACGAGAGAGACGCGCGGCACCGGCGGCTCGCGCTGGCTGCCGGGAGAGCGGTCGGCGAAGAGAACAGGCCAGCGCCGGCCCTTGGTGGGTGGCCGATGCAGACCCACGCTGGAGACCCGGACCTAAGCAGAAGGATTCGAGTCCCTTCCCAGCCCGCGGTGGACGGAGAGCAGCCTCACGGGGTCGCTCCCGCTCACTGAGCGGCTCCATTACCCAGGCCCGGGACGAGGCGGCCTTCGTGGAGCACCCAGTCCAGGTGGCAGGCGGACGATGAGTGACACGCCTGACAACGAAGTGAAGGCAAGTCTAGACGGGGGTAGGAATCCGGTGAGATGAGAATGGGGTTGAGATGGCGGAGGGAAGCAGATGGGGATGGAGTTAAGGGCTACGGACCGGGTAGGGATGGCGATGAGGAGTGAGTTTAGTGCGTACCAAGTGTAAGGATGGGAGCTCTGGTGGCGTAGTGCCTAAGGCACTTGACTGCTGACCAGAAGGCCGGCGGTTCAAACCCAGCAGCCACTCCTCGGAAGAAAGATGGGGCAATCTAGTTCTGTAGTGATGTTGTTGTTGTTGTTTGCCGTCGAGTCGGCCCGACTCATAGCGACCCTTCCTTGGGTTTCCGAGGCAGTATCGCTACGGAAGTAGGATTGCCCAACCTTCCTTCCGGGGAGTGGCTGGTGGGTGATACTGCCTCGGAAACCCAAGGAGGGGTCGCTATGAGTCGGGGCCGACTCGACGGCACATAGTATCAACAACAACAAGTGTAAGGATAGAGGAAAAGAAGGCGGCTCTCAACGAGATCGATTGACACAGTGGCTGCCACGAAGGGCTCAGGGATAGCAAGGATTGTGAGGAGGCGCAGGGCCGGGCAGCATTTCGTTCTGTTGTGCGTAGGGTCGCTGTGAGCCGGAGCCGACTGGATGGCACCTGACAACCAAAAGTGTAAGACGAGGGAACTCGCTGGGAGCTGAGGGGTCAGTCCCCAGGGCCGAGCCCTTAGCCCAGGCCTTGCCTGTCCCCTACAGGACGCCGAGCCCATGGAGGGCTGTGGCCAGGACAGCGGCAGTGCCCTGGGCAGCCCCGTGGCCTCGGCCCCCGGGGAGGGGGAGAGGGCCGCTGCAGGGGCGGGGCTGGGGCTCTACAACTACATCAGGGAGGACCTGTTCACCTCGGAGATTTTCAAGCTGGAGCTGCAGAACGTCCCTCGCCACGCTAGCTTCAGCGATGTTCGGCGCTTCCTGGGCCGCTTTGGCTTGCAGCCTCACAAGACCAAGCTCTTCGGCCAGCCCCCTTGCGCCTTTGTGACGTTCCGTAACGCAGCAGAACGGGACAAGGCCCTGAGTGTGCTGCATGGTGCCCTCTGGAAGGGCCGCCCGCTCAGCGTGCGCTTGGCTCGGCCCAAGGCTGACCCCATGGCCAAGAGGAGGCAGCGTGAGGGTGAGGGTGAGCCGCCAGCCACACAGGTCGCTGACGTGGTAACCCCACTTTGGACGGTGCCCTATGCAGAGCAGCTGGAACGGAAGCGGCTGGAGTGTGAGCAGGTGCTGCAAAGACTTGCCAAGTGAGTGCAGACTCGGGGCACACCCTGGCACCCTCACACTCAGCGTGCGCTGTGCACACCCCTGGGCCTGCAGTCTCTTGGGGAGTGAAGCAGCAAGGCCCCTGTGTTACTAGTGGGGACAGTGAGGTCCCAGGGGAGGTGCACAGGCGCCCGGGCATCTGCAGCATGACTAGGATTGGGCGGGAAATAGTGGTTTGAGCCCCACTGTGGCCCGATCTTGTCATGCAGGGAAATTGGGAACACCAACCGCGCCCTGTTGCCGTGGCTGCTCACACAGAGGCACAAGCACAATAAGGCCTGCTGCCCCCTGGAGGGGGTCAGGCCATCACCCCTGCAGGTCAGGCCAGCTCGCCCAAGCGCATGAAAAGCACTTCTTGTCTGTCCCCCCGTCCCTTTCCTTGTGTCGTGTTTCTTCTAGATGTTGGCTTTGTCCCCTGACCACCAGCCCTACTGGGAAGCTGCTTGTCACTCAGTTGTGTTCTCTCCACTGGCAAGGACTGGACAGCCAGGGTGGTCAGGCATGTTTCTCTCTGTTTCTCTCTCACCACCCCCTTGCACACAGACCGAGTATCGTAACAAGTGTGAGTTTCTGGTTGGCATCGGGGTAGATGGGAAAGACAATACTGTCGGCTGCCGGCTGGGCAGGTACAAGGGCGGGACGTGTGCTGTGGCAGCCCCCTTCGACACCTTGCACATCCCAGAGGCCACCAAGCGGGTGGTAAGGGCCTTCCAGGAGTTCATCCGGTGAGGACTTGTGACTGGGCTGGTGAGGTGAGGTGAGGGTCCTGCACTGGCTGGGTGTCGGGCATGTGGTGTCTAGGGTGGTTGGAGGAGGTGAGCAGGGTAAGCCACTTCCCTGTGCCTAGTAGGCAGACATCAAGGACCCCCACACTGACTCAGGGCTGCTCTTGGCTCTATAGGTCCACTACGTACTCCGCGTATGACCCAGAGACATACACGGGCTACTGGAAGCAGCTCACTGTGCGCACCAGCCGCCGTGGCCAGGCCATGGCCATTGCCTACTTCCACCCCCAGGTAGTAGGTGAAGTGGCCCTGCCATGTGGTGGGGGCTTCGTGGGCCTAAACTTTCTGAGGACCCTTCCAGCCTGAGTAGGCAGCAGCAGTCTGACGAGGCTTTTTCTGCTGCCTGCTCCAGAAACTTAGCCAAGAGGAGCTGGCAAGACTGAAGATCTCTCTCGCACAGTATTTCACGGAGGGGCCAGGCAAGGCCAGTGGCGTGACCTGTTTGTACTTCGTGGAGGAGGGACAGAGGTGAGCAGCCTTGGGTGGGGCAGAGCGGGCCCTGCAAGGGCTGCTGACACTATAGATCTGCCTCCACCATCCACAGAAAGACTCCTAGCCAGGAGGGCCTGCCGCTGGAGCACGTGGCTGGGGACCGGTACATCCACGAGGACCTGCTAGGGCTGACCTTCCAGATCTCCCCCCATGCTTTCTTCCAGGTAGTTCACTGTTCTTGGGGACCCAAGTCCCAACCAAACCTCAGTGCGGGGCAGGCACGGAGTGGGCTACAGTGGCGATAAGGAGTTAGCCTTGCAAAGATCTTGGGAAGGGCATCCGAGCAAATGCTATGAGGGAGGAAGCAGGTCATTTGAAGGTTGGAGGTTTAAGGCCACCCGGAGGCTCCTTTGGAAGCCCAGCAAGGTACTTGCGAGAAAGCAGCTATTGAAACTCCTTATGAAACGCAGTGCTGGTCTGACACACGAGGTCAGCTTGGATTTGGATCGAACGCAGTTGGATGTTTTGATCCTCTAGCAAACTGTACGCATTGATGATCCCTCTTTGTGAGAATGAGGAGGAATGGCCACTATCCCGAGTGAGCACACCTCACCCTTTCAGAAATCTGTTTCTGGGTGCAGGGGGAGGAGGCTTTGGTGGACTGTGTGCAAGGGTGACATCACTCAGTGCTCTCCCTCACTGGTGCCAGGAACTTGTGGGGCAAGGACACCTTGCCAGGTGGGGACAGGTGAGGAGTTGGTGAGTATCCTGCTTTGGCCACAAGATTTGTAGGGCTTGCTGGGAGGCAGATGAGAGGTGCAGGAATGAGTTGAGACTGGGTCTGGTGTGACACTAGGATGGAGATGCCCTGTGCTGGGGTAGCAGATCTGTTGGGGCCCGAGTGTGACAGGAAAGGCTCATGAGAAATGGGAGTGGGTGGTTGAGGTGCTTTTAAAGCCAAGAGACTGAGTGACAATACCTAGCACTGCGTGGATAGCAGAGGAGGCCAAGGAGCAGGACTAGGTCATTCAGGTAGTTGGAGGTGGGGCTGGAGATGGGCAGGAGAGAAGAGTGTCAGCACAGAGGACAGGAGGTCTGTAGGCAGGAGGCAGTGGACTTGGCTGTGGGTTGGGACCGGGACCGAGGTCAGGGGCTCTGGAGCCAGCCACCGGGCTGTCCAGGAGGGGCAGTTTGCCATCGTGTGCGGCCGGCCCGCCCTGCAGGTGAACACCCCGGCCGCCGAGGTACTCTACACGGTCATCCAGGAGTGGGCCCAGCTGGATGCGGGGAGCACGGTGCTCGACGTGTGCTGCGGCACCGGCACCATCGGCCTGGCCCTGGCCCGGGTGAGTCCCCCGCCTGTGCTCAGACCTGCCCCGGGTGAAACCTGGCTGGAAGGCTCAGCGAGGCCGACTGCCATTCTGTCCGAGAGCTTACGTTCCTTTCTGTCCCTGGTGCCATTCCCCACCCCTGGAAGCCTTCTGGGTGGGAGCGACAGGTCTGCTCTCTGCCGTTTCAGAAGGTGAAGAAGGTGGTTGGGATTGAGCTGTGCCAGGAGGCTGTGGAAGATGCCCGGGTGAATGCCCACATCAATGGTGAGAAGAAGTCAGAGCTGCGAAGCAGGTGGCGGCCCTGAGGTCTGAGGGGCAGGTCGTAACTTCAGCCACTGCACGTGGTAGCCACTCAGGCCTAGTCCTGAAGCGCGTGTAGCTCCCAGGACCCTTGCGGGGGGCAGAGTAGAGACGGCTGGCTGCGGGTCCTGGGGCTGGAGCCGGTGGGTTTTGCCTGTCCCCCCCCCATCCCGGGACTTGCCTCGGGGAGCCGGGTGGGCCCTGGGCTCTCCGACACAGCTGCCCCGCCGTCCTCCAGAGCTGAACAACGTCGAGTTCCATCCCGGGAGGGCGGAGGACCTCGTGCCCGCCCTGGTGAGCAGACTGGCCTCCCAGAAGCTCATCGCCATCTTGGACCCCCCTCGTGCTGGTCTGCGTGAGTGGCCTTTATCGGGGGGTCGGGCAGTCCATGGAAGAGAGGATTAGCACCGTCTGATGCCCTTCCTTCAGGGCCCCCATCCTTCCTCAGGGGCCCTCACAGGCCCTGCTGACTGGGCCACACCTGCCCTTCCCTAGACTCCAAGGTGATTCTGGCCATCCGCAAAACTGCAAACCTGAAGCGGCTCCTGTACGTCTCCTGCAACCCCCGCGCAGCCATGGCCAACTTTGTGGAGTGAGTGTGGGGGTGGGCCGAAGTCCTGCTCATCCCATGGGAGTCCTCTGGCCAGACTCATGTCTCTGATTGGGATACCCCTTCCTACCATAGCCTCTGCAGGGCCCCTTCTAACCGTGTGAAAGGCACCCCCTTCCGGCCAGTCAAGGCTGTGGCTGTGGACCTGTTCCCGCAGACCCCCCACTGCGAGATGCTCATCCTGTTCGAGAGGATGGAACACCCCAATGGTGCAGGGGTCCTGGACCCCCCTGCCATGCCCCTATCCTCCCCATCTCCACCAGGGCCTCCAGATGGCACACCCCAGGAAACTGGGCTCCTCCCCTCTTCCTAGCCCCTGTTGCCAACTCTGAGACCAGCAGAGGCCAGGTCTTCCCAAACAGGCCCACCCAGTATCACAGGGAGAGGCAGAGAGGTCCCTGTTCATACCCAAGGGCGTATAGCAGGCACAAGGCCTCACTGCCGTTCTTCTCAGACCCTAAAGCTAGAGAGGCACAGTGGGGACCTGTGGCCACCCCAGCCCTCCCTTACCATCCTTTGTTTTGGTGGGTCCCAGGGCTCTAATAAACAGTTGCTGAACCAAAGAAAGACTGAACCAGTGTTCTGTGATGGAGCAGAGGTGTGGAGGTACAGGGATAGATCCTAACTGCCTAGGGACCTACAGCTCCTCATGTACCAGGGGTGGGGGCTACTCTTTGCAGATGTCTACAGCTGTCCTGGCCCTCGGACTGACACATGTGTGGCTCAGCAGCTTTTGCCAGGAGTGTTCCTAGTACCCTGGCACAGCCCAGCACAGGATGTGTGGGGGTCTCACTGCAACATACTAGCTTTTGGATAGAATCTTAGGTTTTGTGCTTTAAACCAAAGAGAAGGCGCAAAGATGGAAGATTTCATGGCCAAGCACCAAAGGCAAGAGGTTGGCCCCTGCTTGCTTGCCCCAACATGGGTAGACACGGTTTGTCCCTTGACTTCTCTGCTACTTTATGAGAGGACCCCCTCTTAAACCTCATTCCCATCTTAAACTTGGTCCTAAGACTCAAAGGGAGGCTAGCATTCTCCCATAGTGACTTAGGAAGAAGCCAGGGGCCTCATCAGGATGCTGTTCAGCTCCAGCTAGGAGCAGCTGTGTGCAGGCAGTTGCCCACCCTCTCCAGAGAAGTACCAGGAGGCTTGGCCAACAGAAGTCCCCCCAGCTTCCTGCGGGTTGAGGAAAGAAACAGCAGCCACTCCCCTGTGGACGGTACTGATTTATGCATTTGGCAGTCAGGGCTCACCCTTGCAGCTGGGGCCCAGTGCCACCTACGAGGTACATGATAGGCTGTGCTGCACAGAAGGAGCTCTAACCATCCTGCCACACGGTCTGTGCGCACACACAAGACTTGCACCCACACATGGCAGATGCACGGACACAGGGGACACAGCACACGTGCAGTTCACCAGGCCAGAACGCCCCTTCCAGCCTGCTTCTGGGGAAACACACGTGCCGGAAGCTTTGGTTCACCGTGACTCGATCTGGCTGTTTTAAGGGAACAGTCAGGGTCAAATAATAGAATTCACAGCTGCAGACAGGAGGCAAGACAAAAGCAAGTTTGTAATTACAGCAAGTTGATTTGGGGATTGTGTTGTTTTAAAAGGTCAATAAACACTACCACCTCAGTCACAGAAGTGATGAGGAAGTATGCTTTGGGTGGCCCACACAGGCAACATTCTGTCTTCCAGAAAACAAACATCTGTTGGGACACAGCGGTAGGTGGGTATGCCCTTACAAGGTGATGGTGCCATCCAACTCAGCTCCTACGTAGCAGCCTCCAAAGGTGCACCAATGCACACAGCAGCCAGATGTGCTGGGGACAGGAGCTAGTCACCACCACCTTGCCTGCAGGGAATACAACCCAGGGCCCTGAGTGCGCACACAGCCTCCCCGACTCAGAGCAAAGTGTTTCTACCCCACCACACTATGCCTGTCCTCGGGCTACTTGATGAGCAGACAGAGGAGCCAGGTGGCCACTGGGCTCCCCAGGGGAGCTGTTTACAGATCCTGGATGGACTGCACTAAAGTCCTCATTTCCACTTTTCAAACAAGTCAATTTGCTAAAACCCCTTAATTCGGTTTATATTTGCTACATTATTCCAAATCTACATACTACTCACTGCAAATGCTTCTTTCAAAATGCTAAAATACCATAAATGTTCTAAAAATCAACAGGTGGACAGACTGGATCTGACTGTGCAAAAAACATTAGTAAAAACTTGTCAGACAGTGAAGGCAAGGAGAGACTCGGGGTCTAAGAAGCTGTGTTTTCAGGGCATTAAGACTTAACAGAATGAAACACAGTCCAGCAGCAGAGCGATTTAAGGAGCCAGGTGATGGCCTTGGAATCTGACACTGGTTTAATCAATCACTGGAGGCTTACCTAAAACGTGAAAGTTACTTCTGATGCTAAACTTGTGTTCATTTAAAATCAAAAAGGTCTGAGTAGTCCTTTCTAACTGCTGTAACAATCACCTTTTCAGAGAAAAAGGAAAAACAGGAGGCAAGGTAAGGACAGGGTGCTCAAGCATGCCTTCCAGCCAGGCTCCTGGGGGTGAACCTGCGGGAGTCTCAGGCATCATGGGCAGCCCACAGGCTGCTGGCAGCACCACCAGCCACAGCCCACACGACTTGGCCATCACTTTCTCATTGCATCTGCCACCCCAGAGTCGTTTCTTGTCAGTGCATGGTATGCTCTGTAGGAGATGCATCGAAGCCTTCATAAACGGTAGGTAGCAAGTATATAGAAGCAGGGGTCTAATGTGTTTCCACAATAGATCACCTGCCATCTGCATGGTTACTCTGAAGTTGATCCTGAAATACACATCTGTTTAGACCTGTGAACAACTTTGGAGGAGAAAGTGTTGGCTCGTCACGTGTCCTGTGTGACCCTGGCTGCTCGTGCACCAGAGCCACCACCCTTCTGGCTGTGACCCTTAGACACGCTGACCACATGGGGGCTGAGGCGGGAGGCCGGAGCTGCAGTGAGGGGCGCGGGACTGCCCGTGCTGCCCGTGTGCCTCCGCCACGCTGCCTCTCACACATCCACAGTGCACAGGGGCTCGCCACCAGGCTGGGCAGATGCCACGATCGTCATCTTGGGCTTCTTCCGCGTCTCCTCCTGGAAGAACAGCAACGATAAGGGGTGCCAGTGTTAGTGGGGTGGGAGTGCATGGGAGGGGAGAGCTAACTACAGGGAGGAAGCGGGAAGAAAGCTGTTACACTGTGGGGAATTGCAGTCAATGTCATGAAACAAGATATGTATGAACTGCTGTGTGAAAATGAATTTGCTCTGTAAACTTTCACCCCAATCATAATTAAGAAAAAAGCTACATGGTTGAACAAAACTCAAAATTATTAAAAAAAAAAAAAAAAAAGACCAGGCTTACTGGTCTGATAGAGACTAGTGAAACCAGACTATGACCCCTAGTCACCCTTCAAGCCTGGAATTGAACTCAGTCCCGTAGGTTCCAACCGAACAACAGGCAGGCACATAAGGTGGATGTTTACATCAGGTAGCTGCACTCCTTAGAACAATCAACCACGTGAGATCGGGAGGGCAGCATTTGCACAGGGGGAGAGCTCAGAGGGCAGGAAGGTGTAGGAAAGGAAGACACAAGGAAAAGGTAACCACAGGGAGGAGGTGGGAAGAGAGGTGTTAACATGAGGACTGCAGTCAATGTCATGAAACAAAACAGTATGGACAACGAATTTGCTCTGTAAACTTTCACTCAAATCATGATAGACAAAGATAAGGGATGCCAGTAAGTTGGCAAAGGGCAAGTAGCTCAGCAAAGGGACACGATGGACTGGCACTAGGAAGTCTGGTCTGGGGCTCCCGGGGGCCCTGATGCCAGGTTGGGGAGGAGGAGGGGATACTTAAGGGGCAGGGCAGAGAAAGAAGTGCAGGAGGCACGTGAGGTCACCAGGCCCAGACTGGTTCACCTTGGACAGAACTCCCACCCACCCTCTGCTCGCCACAGCCTGAGCCTCAGCTCCTCTTCTCCAGCCAGGGACCAGTGTGTCCTGGGCTTGCCAACCCACAAGGCCTATTGCATTCTGAGACCCACAGTCCTTCTCCCAACCAGAAACAGGCTGGGGTCCTCAGAGCTTGAGGCAGGACAAGGCCCACTCCTACCTGAGGGCAGGTGGAGGGCTTCATGAGAGGAGCTAAAGAGGCCAGAGACAGCGAGCCATCTCCTTCTGAGTTCTATACAGGTCCGGTTTGAACACCCAAGACCTCACTCAGTCTGCTCAGCCAAACCCGAGCTAACACCACAGCGAAAAAGCACAGACCCCCAGATGGGATCATGAGTAGCCACACGGACAGAGAGACACCACCACTGTCAGCCCAACCAACAAGCCACCACCAGTCTCTGTTCCCAGTGCCCCTCTTGGGATGAGGGGACCGGTGCTGGGCTTCAGGAACCCTCACCTTGACTATCCAAGTTCCACTGGTTTTATGGACTATGTGAATATCACGATCTGCCATCAAACTGGACAAAACTGCTAAGAACGTGAGGAAGAAAAGGCCCAGGAGAGGCAGTATGTTTGTCCAGAATGACTGTGGGGGAAGGGGGTGGACAGGAAGGGGGCTGGCCCTGCCCTCCAACGGTTGCCTCAAATTTGGTTTCGCCTGACCACAGGGCATGGCTGCCAACTCTCCAACTAAAAATAGTATTTACGTATCACAAACTCTGAGCATCAAGGAAAAGCCCATTTCATTTGGAAGAATTGAGGGTTCACTGGAGAGGGGTGTTTCAGGCATTTTCAAGGGCATGGGGAGTCTGCACCGGATCCCCAGGTACCTGACTTCCCTGCGCAGCTGCCTCCGGAGCTGGCCGGGTGCTTCGCTCCCGTTACAGGGAAAGGGTGAAGGAGGAAGGAAGGAGAGACAGGCCGGGAGGACTGCAGGGAGGGTGGGGTACCGGCCCCAGGGCACACTCACCCTCTCCTCCGCCAGCTTCCTCATCTCCTCCTGCAGCTTGCTCAGGATGTGCAGGTTGGGCCTGTTCTTCTTGGCGTACTGCTGGAGCTCCACCACACTCTTATCCGAGGTCTCCTGGGGAGCAGCACAGAGGACTGACTCTCCCTCTGGGGCGCCCAGACTGCAGGCCTGGGCAGTCTGTCCACCCTGCTGCCCCTGCGTGCCTGCGGCAGACCAGGGAGCAGCGCGCAGCCAGGAGCTGCAGCCACGCACCTGCACCAACTCCCCCACCAGCAAAGGCTCTACAGCCATTCCCACGTCTGCCCAGGGGCAGAGCAGGGAGGCCGGACACTCAAAGCTCCAACAGTTGTCGCAGAGGGGGTGAGCGAGGACACCTATGCTGTCCCCACAGCGTCCTCAGTTGGAATGCCTGCAGCCCAGCCGTGCTGTCGAGAGACACACGCCCAGCACTGGGAGCCAGCTAGAAGCCAGCAACGCCCCAAAAGCTGAGCTCTCAGTACCTGCTATGACTTGCAGAGCAGGAGCAAGTTGTCCTCCGTACCTCCTTCCTTAAGAAGCTGTCTCCAGGGCACTTCGTGTGTGATAAGGGACGCCAGAGCTCGGCGTGCCCTCCAGAAACCAGGCTCGCAGCCCCTGTGCCTGGGCTGGGATCCACCACCCTGCTATCAACAAACCCTCCGCCCAGGCCAAAGCGGGCTCTTGCTTTTTCCTCAGTCATAGCTCAGGCTTGATTTCAACTTCAATGGAGTTTCTTAAACAATGTGCATCTGGCACTTCTGGCTGCCTGTGCCGGAGCCTGGGCCAGAGTGTCATCCTGGGAGTCACTGTCATGTTCACCCTGACTCTGCACAGCAACTACCCCTTCACTTTTGGGATGCCAGTAACCCAGATGGTTTCTGTACACACTGGGGGCGGAAATGAAAAACGTAAATAGTTCTCGCCCAATATTTCCCTTCACCCCACGAAGAACCTAAGGGTATGGTTTAAATTTTGAGATTTTGACACAAACAGTAGAAACTAAACAGGTGACACACACACAATCTTTAAAGGAAAAATGGTACCTGTCACCAAGAGCCACCCTTGTGTCCTAACTGGATGTCGTCGGATAAGCAGAGGCCCGAGAGCCAGCCTCCCGCCTCAGCGGGGCAGCAGCAGAGCCGGGCACGCTCTCAGGCCAGGGTCTCCTGCCTGCACTGGGCCCAGCTCAGTCACCCCCCCACAGCCACGGGACAAGCAAGGGTCGCATCTCCGCCTCTGCTCACACTTCAACTGCTCACAGCAGGCTGGGATAACACGAGTTTCTGAGCAGCATGACGCCCGCTTCCCCCTCAACACAGGGCTCACAGGAAGTGAGCCCAAGGCAGAGGCACAGGCTGAGGTGCAGACAGCCAAGGTCCCAGCTTTGTCCTCTGGACACTGGACCCACAGACACATGCTCCAAGGCAGGAAGAGAAGAATGAGAAGCCGAGTCCAGCCAGCTGCCCAAGACCTGAGGACGCACCATTACCTGCTTGACCATCTTGCTGCTCTCACGGCCATACATGCGCAATAAGGACCCCCAGTTCTTGACATGGGGGTGCAGGAGCTGCAGGATCTTCTGGGAGGCCAATTGTTTGCCAACTCTTTTATTCTTACCTATGAAAAGAAAACATAAAGGGTCATAAAAGCATGGAGCAGCTAAACATCCCCACTTCCCACTACCAGTGTGCTACCACCCTCTCCAGCACCACCTCCCTCCTCTAAGAGCCAGAACTGGGCACAGGGGCTCTGCCCCAAGGAGCTCAGGAAAGGGGGAAGGGAAGAGCTCCACTATTGCACTGGTTCCCACAACCCCAAGTTCAGGAATGTCCCCCACCCCGTTTTGTGAAGTAGCCAATCAGAGGCTCCAAGAGGTCAGGGGGCATGCCCAAGGTCACACAGCTAGAGGGCCGCTTGATAAAACTGGAGATCCTGGACAGTGAGAGAAAAACGTGGAACAAAATTCAACTCATAAAAAAATCAGGCTTACTGGTTGGGTGGAGACTGGTGAAACCCTCCAGACTATGGCCCTTAGTCACCTTTGGGCCTGGAAATGAACTCACTCCCACGGCTTAATTTCCAGCCAAACAACAGACAGACCTACGAGGTGAACAATTATACCACGTAGGTGCATTCCTTAAAAAAAAAAAAAATCAGCCATGGGAGATCAGAAGGGCACAATCTGTGCAGGGAGAAATCTCAGAGGTCAAGAATGCATAGGAAAGGACAAAGGGAGGCGGTAACCACAGAAAGGAAGTGGGAAGACAGCTGTTACACTGTGAGGATTGCAGTCAATGTCACAAAACGTGTATGAACTGTTGAATGGAAAACAAATTTGCTCTGAAAACTCTCATCAATGTCACAATAAAAAGAATGCATAATAAAAACAAAGAGACACACTTGTAGGCACACAGACAAGCTGCCATGATGCCTCGAAGTGTGTGGCTTGAGGCTCCCTCAGAGGCAAGCAAAGATGACAGAACACAGGAGAGGCACTCCCGGCAGCAGGCCTCCCGAGTTAGAGCTCTATTCCAGGAGGTGTTTGCTGTGTTTGGGGAAAGGATCTCTAGGCAAAGGGCCGAGAGGCCAGAGCTGGACGCAAGCCTGGAGAAGGGTGCAGCGCAGCTCAGCGGGGCGTCTGGTGGAGGGGGAGCCTCTGAGGCAGAGCACACCTGGATCTGAACACGGCTCTATGACACCCCTGGGCCACCCGTGCATTTCCTTCTACTTTACACCACACTGATTCTGAGTTTACAGTAGTTACATGGTTTTAAAGTTACATTGTAAAAGTAGTTACACCTCAGATATGAGCATTAGGTAAAATGTACAAGTGGTATACAAAAGGACCACCACGTGGCCTCCCAGGAACAGGTCAGACAGAGACTGGGGTGCAGACGGCACTTTTAGGAGCTCAGTCCCTCTTCTAGCTGCAGGGACCGAAGGCTAGGGGAGAGCGTGGTGGCAAGAGGCTGCTCTCTGCACGGAGAACAGGGTCGAGTGAGTCTGCAGCTGAGCCCCACGGAGATGGGAGCAACGCAGAAGGGAGCAGTTCTGGGAGTCTCGCCTCAGGCTGTGCTCCAGATGTCAGTGCCGACGCTGGCGGACGTGACTTTCAAGAGCACACACGTCGGGCACTCGCTAAAGACAGTCCTTGCCTGGAAGCAGGTGCCCCAAGCCATGGATGCATGAGGGAAACAGGCAGAGGACCAAGGCTGCAGGGAGGCTCCACACTGAGAACTGGCAGGGAGGGCCACCACCACCACAGTCCTACGAGAACACGCCCAGCCTGAGGGACAGAGAGGGAAGTGTCCAAGTGTCCTTACACCACCCGCGCACTGTGTGCTTGCCGCAGGCCATGACATATTCGCTCTTCTGGTTTTTGCCAGGAACCACCTCAAACTTGATGGACGTGTCACCCATTCCATGGTTTCTTTAAGGAAAAACACAGACAATAAAGTTGGGCTTCCATGGTGACATGAACTGAGAAAGAACTAATGGCTGTTTTGTAAAGCCCTTTAAGGTTCCCTAAAGAAATGCCAACCCTTCTCATCAAACATTCTCAGGTGAAGAAGAGGGTGTCCATCTCAATGGCTCTTACTGCCAGGCACTGAGGGATTCCATATGTGCAGGGAAAACATGCAGTAAATCAGCCATTTAGCATCACATCTTACATCAGAACCAATAGCAAATAAAGATGTTCAACATCCAAACAAAAGCTTCCATCACCTTAATCAAGAGAAGGAAAGATCCTTCCTTGGCCCTTACCTTTTAAGGCACTCGTGGAGGATCTGATATGGAGACAACAGTCCAGCCTTGCTGGTCAGCTCATAAACTCGTGAGTCCTCAATACTGATGTGGTTAAAATACTACAAAACAAAGCAACGTGTTCTGAGTTCTGCACCACACACACCAGCCTCTCGGCCCTGGTTCCCATGCTGTCTGCTTCTCCCTCAGAAGTTTACCGTCCTCCTGACTGCTTCTCTACCACTTCTAGGTACATAACAGGTGTGAAAGATACACTTCGCACCTTACTGCTCCTCTGTGACACGGCTGAAGAGCTGTATCTGAGTGTGCTGAAGAGAGCACCAGGGCAGCTAGGCTTGATGCTGGGCAGAGGGCGGGGGCCTTTGCTAAACCAAATGCTGATCAACGGGGAACTAACTATCAGACATCTACAGGCAAATAACCTTAAGAGGTAAGATCATCCTCAGAATTCCCAGGTGTATAGTAGAGCTGACAAGGGGCAAGGTTATGGTCATTACTTGGTCACAGCCAGCTACCCAGAGGGACCGAGTAGTTGATCCTGCGGGCTTGGGACCATAGTCGCAGGGGACATCAAACTCAATTGGCATAACATACTATACAAAACATTGTTCCACCTACTACTTTGGTGAGTAGCCACTGGGACCTTAAAAGCTAGGAAGCTGCCATCTAGATGCAACAACGGGTCTCTCCTCGTCAAGAAGAAAGAAGAAAACCAAAATTAATGGAAACAATCAGTCCTAGCGACTGGTACACCATCCGATCTGCAACCTATACAACTATGAGACCAGAAGAACTAGATGGTGCCCAGCTACCACTGCCATCCACTTGGAAGGGATGTAGGAGATCCTGCATAAAGAGGGAGAACAATGTGGTACAAAACTCAAAATCATTTGGAGGCAAAAAAAAAAAAAAAAAAAAGAAGGTGGGGACCAGGTTTGCTGGTCCAATGGAGCCTGGTGTAACCACTGAGACTATGGCCCCTAGCTGCCCTTCAGGTCTGGAATTGAACCCACAACTGTGGTTTCCAGCCAAACAAAGTACAGGCATGTGAGTTAAACATTTACCTCAAGTAGACACACGCCCTGGAGAGAACAATCATGGGAGAAGGAAGGGCTGCTTATGCACAGGGAGATAGCTCAGGGGGCAGGAGAGTATGGAGGGATGGACACTGGGAGGAGGTAACTATGGGGAGGAAGTGGGAGGGGAGCTGCTGCATTGTAAATTTTGGTCAATGACATGAGACAAAGTATGTGTGAACTGCTGTATGAAAAGTGAATTTACTCTGTAAATCTTCACCCAAATCCTAAAAAAAAAAAAAAAAAAGAGGTAAGATCATCCTAAGTGAGACTGTAGAAGAGAGAAGCTGTTAGTTATAAAACCAGCACTTTAAACAGCCAAGTCCTCTGAAGGTGAGCGTCCGTCAGCCAAGACCAGCTCCCCAGAACACAGGGTGGGGGAAAAAGGGGCTGACCAGGCTCCAGGCTTCAAACACAGATACTCATACTGGCTCTGAAAAACTAATCACTCTGACCAAAGAACAGGAAGGTTAAGGATTAACAGGAAACTAAGTTAACCGGCTGAGGGGAAAGAAATGAGAAGTTCTGTACGATAATTACCAGGGAAATTAGGAAAATTACAAGGCTCACAAGACAAGAGCAAAGCTGCTTTAAAGGGAAAGAACCAGCTAGTAGGAGGCGCTGAAGCAAACACTGCTCATCTCCCTTGAGCTGTCTGGCACAAATTTAAGACCTTCTCCTTGAGAAAAAGAAGATTTCATTCTTCTCACTCAGGAGACACCTCCCCACTCCATGGAGAAGAGGGCCCTTGAGATTTTGAGCAGAAGCTCACTTTTATTAGATGGAAATCAAACACCAAATTAAGACTTTACATCAGATATGGAACAGCTGGGTCTACCAGTCTAGGGAGGACCCCAACGAGCCCACATCCTTCACAGGGCTTCTCCCACCAGGCATGTTGTGGAGCATCTACAGAGACCTGAAGCTGAGAGAGACTATCATATCCTTGAAGGTCATGGACATGTGAGGAAGCTGAGAATCAAACAATTGGGACACCTCATTTCTGGGGGCGGTTCAAACCCACCAGCCACTGCTCGGAAGGAAGATGGGGCAATCTACTTCCATAGTGATACTGCCTTGGAAAGCCAAGCGGGGGTCACTATGAGTCGGGTCTGACTCGACAGCACATAACAGCAACAACAACAACAGGTGCACCAAGACTTCTCCACAGAGTGACACTGAAGACAAGGCTGGTGCTCTGGGTTGGGGGTGTGGGGTGTCCTTGAGCAGCCCTGTTACCAGTGGGGGTAGCGTTCCTCTCCTCTTAACCTGCTTCAAGCTCTCAGGAGCTGCTCAGCAAGTTAGTATTCCCTAATGATTCTGACTCAGTGTCCTTAGAGGATAGAGTGGAACTGCCCACAGGGTCTCCCAGGCTGTCAATCTTCACAGAAGCAGAGCCCAAACCACACCCACTGCCTGGAGTCCATTCTGACCCACAGCGCCCCTAGAGGACAGAGTGGAACTGCCCACAGGGTCTCCAAGGCTGTCCATCTTCACAGAAGCAAAGCCCAAACCACACCCACTGCCTGGAGTCCATTCTGACCCACAGCGCCCCTAGAGGACAGAGTGGAACTGCCCACAGGGTCTCCAAGGCTGTCCAGTCTTCACAGAAGCAAAGCCCAAACCACACCCACTGCCTGGAGTCCATTCTGACCCACAGCGCCCCTAGAGGACAGAGTGGAACTGCCCACAGGGTCTCCAAGGCTGTCCAGTCTTCACAGAAGCAGACGGCCTCCTCCTTCTCCTGCACAGCTGAAGGCAGCAAGGCGGTGTTTCTGAGGACTGCTGCTTTCATTGTAGTTTAACCACTGTCTTCAAACAAGGCCTATTACAGGCCTCCACTCTTAAGCACCTGCATCCCGGGGGGGTTGGCAGTGTAGGCCTCTTTGCAGGGAGAAGTCCTACCACTTCCAGAAAATACTATGCCTTCAACTCACCCTCTCTGGCCAGCCAAGCAGCCAATGATCTTTGTCTGTTGTTGTCAGCTGCCATCAAGTCAGTTCCGACTCGTAAGCATCTTATTACGTAACAGATGCTCGATCCTGCACCATCTTCACGCTGAACTCACTGTTGCAGCCACTCTGTCACGCCATCTCATGGAGGGGCTCCCTGTTTTTCTGCTGACCCTCTACTTTACCAAGCGTGACTGATCCCTCGCCTTGGGATGTGTCCCAAGTAGGCATGATGAACTCGCACCATTCTCGCTTTGCTCTTCTGCCAGTCCAGGGTGCATACTCAGTATCCTTCACCACCACAATTTGAATGTGTCAGTTCTTAGGTTTTCCCTTTCACTGTCCAGCACAAGCATGTATATGAGGCAAATGAAAATGCCATGGTTTGGGTTAGGTGCAGTGTAGTAATCAAAGTGACACCTTTGCTTTTAAAATTTTAAAGAGGTCTTTTGCCACAGATTTGTCCAGTGGAAAACATCATTTGATTTCTTCACTGCTCCTTCCACAGATATTAATCACTGACCTAAGTAAAGTAAAATTCTGACAACTTCAACTTCTTCACAATTTAAAATGATACTGTTTAGGGATCCAGGTGTGAGAATGTTCATTTCCTTCATTCAGATATAAGCCATACGAAAGGCTGTAGGCTTTAACCTTCATCAGTGAGTACTTCAAGTTGCTTTCATTTTGGGCAAGCAAGGCTGTCATCTGAATATCCAGTTATTAATGAGTCTTCTGCAATCCTGATGCCACATTCTTCATATAGTTCACCTTCTCATATTACTTCTTGTTGTTGTTAGGTGCCATCGCGTCGTCGCTGACTCATAATGACCTCATGTTCAACAAAATGAAGGACTGCCTGCTCCTGTGCCAGCCTCAAGATCCTTGCTATACCTGAGCCCATCATTGCAGCCAGTGTGTCAATCCACCTCGTTGAGGACCTTCCCCTTTTTAGTTGTCCCTCCACTTTGCCAAGCATGATATCCTTCTCCAGGGAATGGTTCCTTTTTACAACATGACCAAAGTAGGTGAGACGAAGTTTGGCCATTCTTGCTTCCAAGGAGTATTCCGGCTGCACTTCTTCCAGGACAGATTTGTCACTTCTTTTAGCAGGCCATGGTACTTTCAGCATTCTTCACCCACCACATCACCACTCAAAAGCATCGACTCTTCTTTGGTCTTCACTTTTCATTGTCCAGCTCTCACATGCATATGAGGCAATGCATACCATGGCTTGTGTCAAGTGCACCTTAGTCTTCAAGGAAAAGTCTTTGCTCTTCGGCACTTGAAAGAGGTCCTCTGCAGCACATTTGGCCAATGCTATATGGCACCTGGTATCCTGACTGCTGCTTCCATTGGTGTTGACTGTAGAACCAATACGAATTCTCTGACAACTTCAAGCTTTTCTCCATTTATCATGATGCTGCTTATTGGTCCTGTTGTAAGGATTTCTGTTTTCTTTATATTGAGGTATAATCCATACTGCAGACTGCAGTCTTCAATTTTCATCAGTGTTTCACATCATCCTCACTTTCAGCAAGCAAAGTTGTATCATCTGCATATCTCAGGTTGTTAATGATTCTTCCTCCAATCCTGATACCATGTCTTTCTTCATACAGTCCAGCTTCTCGGATTATTTGTTCAGCACACAGATTGAATAAGCATGGTGAAAGGGTACAACCCTGACACACTACCTTCTGGATTTTAAACCACGCAGTGTCCCCTCATTCTGTTTGAACAGCCTCCTGGGTCTAAGTACAAGTTCCTCATGAGCACAATTAAGTGTTCTGGAATTCCATTCTTCTCAATGTTACCCATAATTTGTTATGATCCACACAATCAAATGCTTTTGCATAGTCAATAAAACAAAGTAAACATCTTTCTGGTATTTTTTGCTTTGAGCCAAGAGCCATCTGACATCAGCGATGACATCCCTCGTTCCACGTCCTCTTCTGAATCCAGCTTGCATTTGTGGAGGTTCTCTGTCAATGTACTGCTGCAACCATTTTTGAATTATCTTCAGTAAGATTTTACTTGTGTATAATATAATGATATTGTTCAATGATTTCCACA